AGTCCAGGACCCAACAGGCCGGTGGTGTTAACGTACATCAACAATTTCATTTTTAAGGGACACACAAAAAACACTGTAATCGCTCCGTGTTGCTTTCACACCCTTTAAGCACTGTTTTGTTAATAAAGGACACAGACTGAGGAACGTCGCGGCCTGGATCGATCTCCAGTGGCGTAAAGGTTCTGTAAAGGAAGAAAAAGCACAGGTTTTGGTGTGCAGGAAATACACCATGCATGCCGTGTTCAAACTGTTTCCCGTAATGTGTGTGTTTACATATTTATTTAAAAATATATTGTGTGTGTTAAACTTTACCGACATTACAGTGTGTGTGTGTATATATATATATGTGTGTGTGTGTGTGAGTGTGTGATGCAGCTCACCTGGTCAGATTCAGAAGATTCCCTGCTGCTTCCTCCTGTCGATGTCTCTCTTCAGCTGGCAGGTGGAGCAGGGTAAGCAGCAATTACTGATCATAAAGTCTTTACACATGGAACCCTAAAACCAGAGCACAGACCAAAACGAGAAGCGATCACGTTAACGTCACGTCATTACTGATAAATTAAACATTAAATATACATTAAATATACATTAAATGTTAAACTCCTCCCACCAAAGTCCAAAAAAAAGTCCGAGGGATCGATCACACGCGTTCACGCAGGTATCTTTTCTAAAGCAAAACTCCGAACCTGTCGTGAAATCGAGTGAGAGACACAAGACAAGCTTATTTTGGAGTTGATCATGTCGTCTATAAAATGTCCAGCAGCGGTTTAGCTTTACGCAGGAGTCGAACTGAGTGTAGAATTTTATGCTTGTGTTTTCATTTGCATTTAACTCTATTCTAAAGCACCGCTCCAGCACAACTTGACTTATTTACAAAGTCTTTTCGAGCGGAGGCGTTTATAGTCCGTCCCGGTCTTCAGAACGTGTCCAGCACAGCTGGAGAACAGGTTTGTGCATCGCTTCTGAATGTGTTCTGAAGGCCCTGTGCAGTTTCGCTTCAGGTAAAGTGTTCCTGACGATCTGTCTCGAGCGAACTGCGCTGAAATTCTACAGGAAGCTTTAAAGTCGACTTCAAACACAAGTTCGTATTGAATAATAGTGATTAGAATTTGCACACAGTCTCAGAAGAAGGTTCTCGGAGGGTTCGCCGAGTTCTTATCTTGCTAAAATGGTTCTAGTTTTGAAAACTTTCTGAGCGGTGCGCGCCATTCTCTACGGTCCTGCATAGAACCTGAAGAAGAAAAAAAATGTTAAGGGTTCAAGATTTTTCCCCCATTCTTCTGTATTTTTTTTTAATAATAATAAAAAAAAGAAAGAAAGAAGGGTTGTTTTTTTGTTGTTGTTTTTTTAGGTTTGTGTTTCAGCCAATCAGTAATAAGATGTAAAAATAAATAAATAAATAAAATAATTCAGAATGTAAATCCGAATAGAAATGTTGCCTTAATGCATTCAAATAATTTTTTAAACACCCTGAACAGAAACTTCTGGGGGTCGAATAATAAAATGAATAATAATAATAATCATCATCATTTGGAGCAACTAAGACTTGTAGAAGTTCCTGTAGATTGTTTTTCCGGTTCTATGTTGGACCCTATGACAGGGTGTGGGGGTTTTTATTTCTTTTTTTTAATCCTGGTCAGCGTAGCGCTGGATTCATCCCGGGACACACCCTGAAAGCAACGACAGTCCATCACGGGACGCTTAGAACCCTCGAGCGACTGTGTTTGTTTTTCTTTTCTGAAAGTATATGAGGTTAGAGATTAGATTCCGGGTCAGAGAGCAGGTTCTGCGTGACCCTGGGACTGACCTTGATGTTGTATTTGGTTCTGTACACACTGCGCATGGACATTCCCAGTCCACATAAACAGCACTCCCCCATATCGCTGGCGATGGAACAGCCCAGACAGGTCAGACAGAAGAGCCCACACATACCTGAGACACGCACAGATACACCAGACAGTCACGTTTAAAACGCCTCTCGGTCACGTGTACATTCTCTAAAGGAAAGTTTGACCCTGTTAGATTTCCAGATGACGATTTTAACGAGCGTCATATCATCCTCAGTGATCGTGAGGGCTGTAACTGGTTAATTATTTATCCTGTGGTGTTCCGAACGTCTCCACGGTAACGCGGTGATTATAAAAACCAGGCGAGTAATGAAACTATACGTTTAAACAGCTCACAGAATCTGCTCGGAGTTTAGTCATCAATACAATCCTGTTTCAAGTAGTGTAAAATGATCATTTTAAACGTTTGAGTGAATTTATTGGATAAAAAAAATACTTGAGTGTTCAAAAATAGTCAGTATCACTGGGTTTTGTCTCAGCTTGACCTGAATTTTTTAAATAATCAGACGTGCAAAGTTTCAGCCAATCAGAAATGAGAAAATGATTCAATCTCATACCACGGTGTACAAATTCAGACTGACAAAATGTCAGTCTAAATTGAAATGTAAACCGAGTGCTGTGATTGGTTGATTATTTCCCCGGGGGTGTTCAGGAAGTGATCACAGAATGATAAGTGTATACTGTAAGGTTGAAGACAGGAAGTGCTGGGAGTTTACTAATAAATGAGCGTACATGTCCCGCAGTCGTCGCAGCACTCGAGCAGTCCGGTCTGGAAGTCAGACGGAGCGAACGCTGTGGGCTGAGACGTCACCGCTGCCATCTCCTGTAGGACAGAGTGATCACTACGTGGTGCTCTGGTTCATGTTCAGCATTTACAGGAAAACTCACACGACTCGTGAACACTAACTGCGCCGTCACATGAAAAAACACACTATAAAGTATCGATCTGTCCGTGTATAAATAGTGTCCAGAATTCATGCGAGAAGCAGAAATGAGGAGAGAGAGAGAGAGACAGACAGAGAGACAAGAGAGAGAGAGAGAGAGAGAGATGGAGAACATTTACCTGGTTCAAGATGCACCTGAGTAAGCAGTGATGTTTAAGTGTTGAAGTTTCCAGAAGTTTCCAACAGGCGAGTCTTTTATAGCTCTGTTGTAGTCACATGTTGAACTTTTTACAACCCAACAACCTCCGAGGGTTCACCCGTCCACCCGAGGCAGAACGAAGCATGGGGTCAAAGTCACTGTAGATTTATTGCCTTTTCCACCTGAATGTAAAGCAAACAGATACGTTTATAACCGAGAGTATCAGTGGTACCTAATCGCACTGTTGCGCAAACCCACACCTGCCTTTCCACTCATCCACTCATCTACTCATCTACCTGGGGGGCGGGGCTGTGGCGCAGGTGGTAGACTGGGTTAGGCGGGTTGTCCACTAATCGTAGGGTTGGTGGTTCGGTTCCCGGCCCGGGTGACTCCACAAGCTGAAGTGTCCTTGGGCAAGACACTGAACCCCAAGTTGCTCCCGATGGCAAGTTAGCGCCTTGTATGGCTACCATTGGTGTGTGTGTGTGTGTGTGTGTGTGTGTGAATGGGTGAATGAGACACAGCTATATAAGTGCGCCATTTACCTGCTCGGACACGCCCGCTTTTACACACTATTACACACTATTACACATTAATACACATTATTACACACTTACACATTAATACACATTAATACACATTAATACACACTATTACACACTATTACACATTATTACACAGTATTACACATTAATACACATTATTACACACTATTACACATTAATACACACTATTACACACTTACACATTATTACACATTAATACACACTATTACACACTATTACACATTATTACACACTATTACACACTTACACATTAATACACACTATTACACACTATTACACATTATTACACATTATTACACACTTACACATTAATACACACTATTACACACTATTACACATTATTACACATTATTACACACTTACACATTAATACACACTATTACACACTATTGCACATTATTACACACTATTACACATTATTACACACTTACACATTATTACACATTAATACACACTATTACACACTATTACACATTATTACACACTATTACACATTAATACACATTATTACACACTATTACACATTAATACACACTATTACACACTTACACATTATTACACATTAATACACACTATTACACACTATTACACATTATTAAAACATTATTACACAATTTACACATTAATACACACTATATTACACACTATTACATATTATTACAATACTATTAAATTATTACAAATATTACACATTAATACACACTATTACACACTATTGCACATTATTACACACTATTACACATTATTACACACTTACACATTATTACACATTAATACACACTATTACACACTATTACACATTATTACACACTATTACACACTATTACACATTAATACACATTATTACACACTATTACACATTATTACATACTATTACACACTATTACACATTATTACACACTTACACATTAATACACACTATTACACACTATTACACATTATTACACACTATTACACATTATTACACACTATTACACATTATTACACACTATTACACATTATTACACACTATTACACACTATTACACACTATTACACACTATTACACACTATTACACATTATTACACACTATTACACACTATTACACACTATTACACACTATTACACATTATTACACACTATTACACACTATTACACATTATTACACACTTATCACATTAATACACACTATTACACACTATTGCACATTATTACACACTATTACACATTAATACACACTTACACATTATTACACATTAATACACACTATTACACACTATTACACATTAATACACACTATTACACACTATTACACATTATTACACACTATTACACATTATTACACATTAATACACATTATTACACACTATTACACATTATTACACACTATTACACATTATTACACACTATTACACATTATTACACACTATTACACACTATTACACATTATTACACACTATTACACACTATTACACATTAATACACATTAATACACACTATTACACATTATTACACACTATTAGTGGGCAGTGGTGGTTTGGTGGTTAAGACTCTGAGTGACTGATCAGAAGGTCAGGGGTTCGAACCCCAGTACTGCCAAGCCACTGTTGGGCCCTTGAGCAAGGCCCTTAACCCTCTCTGCTCCAGGGGGCGCTGTATCATGTCTGACCCTGCGCTCTGACCCCAACTTCCTGACATGCTGGGGTATGTGAAGAAAAGAATTTCACTGTGCTGTAATGTACACGTGATTAATAAAGACTGGTTATCATTATGACACATGAACACACACTAATACAGATCAACACAGATTATTAACGAACTGATCAGATGGACATAAATTCAGTTACATCAACTCTTTATTTATTTATTTAACAGCTTTGATACATTGATACAGCGTCTTAATCCCTATTTTCCAACTCTCTTAGCAAAGGTTTTATGAAGAACCCAACAAAGTGATTCCCTGTTCTCCAAATAAAACCCTTTTAAAAATCGTAGAACCCCATTTTTTAAAGCGTGTATAAATTCAGCTGATGGAACACGGGTCTAATTTGTTTTAATTCAGCTTCGTCCCTTAAAGAACCCTTTTTTCCCCCCTAAGAGAGTTCAGAGTACTAATAAGGTAAATGTTAGGGTTCTAGATTTGAAAAATAAATGAATGAGCAATAATTTGGGGTTCGTACTGCACACTTACCAGGTAATACTTACAATCTTATTAGAAATAAAAAAGTGTTCGATTAGGAACCCTGTCTAATAGGGAACCACGTTGTTGTAGGGTTCTACACCTTTGAGGAACAACCAAAGAACTTTTAAAACTGTATAACCCCAAGTAGAACCATTTTAACACGCACTCAGTTAAGACATACGTTTCTTCAAGAGAACACTGAGGGGTCATCAGGAAAAAAGGGACAAAAAACAGAGAACCTTGGACTGGATAAATGGTTGAAGAGTGTATCAGAAGAACGCTTTCAGTGTTTCATCTAGAAGTTCTTTATGAATAATTCAAAGAACACAGAATCTGGGGAAACTCCTTCACAGCTGACACACCTGAAGCTGCAGGATTAAGAGTCCACAACACACCTTCACCTTCTCGGACAAGTCAAGAGTACTCTCTGAATGTATACGTGCACCTCCGTAACCATGGAAACCAAGGCTTTACGGGCTTCTTTAAGAGTTCGTTGGATAATCAAGGGTTAATTAATGAACTTCCTAATACGGTTCTTCTGGGAACTATTCCTCATAGCTCGGACCAGTCTGTCCGTTCTCTTCTAATTCGAGTACTTACATGAATGTTCCTAATAAAGTGGCCGCTGAGTGTAAATGCATTTGCTACCAGTAACTCGCAGAACCAGCGTGGAGCTACAGATAAACTCATAAACATTGAGCAAGAAGGTTTCTTTTCCTGGTATTCAAGTGGGTGTGAGCGTTCGGTTCTCATGACGCATGTGATAAGATAGCATGAGTTTCCAGGCACCGAGTGCAGAACGTGACGGCACACGGAACTGATCTAGAACCAGTTCTTAAAGGCTCATGTTTAACATTTTTACTGTATTATTATTATTATATCATTACTGAACTTATTCAATGAGCCCCGTCTCTCTGGTGGAACCTTTAAAGGTTCTATGTAGATCTGTACCGCGGAGTGCTTTCCTATTACGAAGGCTTTCAAGCTGAACCTTTTCAGGAGGCTAAAAAAAACTCAAGTAACACTTAAAGAACCCTTGAAGAAGCCTTTTGTCCCAAGACACTAAATGTAGAACCCTTTTAGGAAGCTTAATTATAGAAAGAGCCCTAAGAGTGTTCAGATTCATTTACATAAATCCATTTTAATTTAATTTAATCTCATCCCTTATTAATTATCCAAAAAGAACCCTTAAAGAATCCACGAAGAACCCTTGTTTCTAAGAGAGTACCAAGAGCTAAAGGTTAAAGTCCCGACAGGTTCTAGCGATTAATAAGAAAATAATGAGCAGTGATTTGGAGTTTGTAAATACACACTCTCTTAGAACAAAAGGGTTCTTCACTTGTCCATCTGGAGAACCTTTAATGGTGCCATGTAAAACGCTACAACAGAGTGATTTATTTATTTATTTACTGGAGAGTTTTTCTGTCAGAAAGGGTTTCAGAGTGGATCCTTCTCGGAGACTAAGAACCCTTAACCTCATGCACTCTTAAGGCAAAAAGAGTTCTTTAAAGGTTGATTGGACAGTTATGGGTTCTTAGTCTCCTGGGGCAGAGCGTTGGATTATACACGTACCACCACGTCCGGATTCACGGTTCGGATTTCTTTCGGTTTTGGCTGTGATGATTTTGTTGGGGTTGTTGGATGGGGTGTGATAAGATGTAAAACGCGATTTTCCAATAAAAATCCAATAATTTAAAAAAAAAAGGGTTCGTAGTCTCCTCAATGGGTTCTAAGTGGAACTCAGTAATACGAAGGAAACAGTGAGCAATAATTTGGAGCTTGTCCCGCACAAGTACACAGTTAATGAACGCACTCTTAAAAAAAAAAAAAAAGGGTTCTTCAAAGGATTATTTGTACAAATGAAAGATTATTATCCTCTTATTTATCATCTGCCCTTTATTTGTTCTGCTAATCATCATTAATCCCTAACTATAACTTCTAGCTGTGTCATGGAAATAAAGTTTTATCTCCGTCTCAGAGACTAAATATACACCATGTGACTTGGTTTATAACGTGTGTTAAATCTATTTCTGTTATAAAGCTTAGTTACAGTTAGATTTATACTATCTAGACACTCAAAGCTCTTTATACAGTATGGGGGGGGGGAGTGTTGGGTCTCCTCAACCAGCACTAGTGTGTCTCCTCCACCTGGATGATGTGACGGCAGTCAAAGTGCTCCAGAACCCCCACCACACACCGCTATGAGTGGAGAGGAGATGGAGATTATTAGGGTGGTGGAGGAGGGTCAGTGGGGGGATTTGGGTAGGACCCCGGGGTTATACCCCTACTCTTTACCATTTTTAATGACCACAGAGAGTCAGGAAGACTTTACAGTATAGTGTCCCCGTCACTATACTGGGGCATTAGACCCCACACAGACCACAGGGTGAGCGCCCCCTGCTGCCCCTCACTAACACTTCCAGCAGCAACCTTAGTTTTCCCCGAGGAGGTCTCCCATCCAGGCACTGACCAGGATCAACCCTGCTTATCTTCAGTGGGAAACCAGGTGAGAGCTGAGAGTGGGAGTAATGACTCTGGCATCATGAAGTGTCATGAGACACACACACACCATGAGGATGTCACAACTGAACACAGACGCTGGAGAAACTCACTCACACGTGACACACACCTCAAGCTGCAGGATCAAGAGTCCACAACACACCTTTACAAACACCGAGTACATACACCCACTTCCGTAACCATGGCGACAGTCTCAGAGTTACAGGTTTGATCAATTCTGAGGTCTCGGTGTTCTCCCCGCGAGGCCCATTCCCAATTCATTCACTGCCATGACCGACACCAAACCTTTTGTTCTGGTGTTTAAGTTTATACGCTCATTCGAATAAAGATCAACAAACTGCTTCCTGAAGCACCTGGAAATCTTGTTGACCTCGCTGAATATAATTCCAGCAAGTCATCGTGGACATCTCCAGCAGGAGAATCCCGAGCATTACGTTATTTCATCAGTACCTGCGAAAGAGAAATGGCACCAGAAGTATAAAAAGTCTCAATCGACCCACAGAAGAACCCACAGCCCTGAAAGACTGACGCTGCGGTCAAAGCAGCAGATGAAGGAGGAGCAGATCTCTACATCAAGGACACAACTCTTCAATACCAGCTTCTTCTACAGGTGCATTAACCATGACATCAGTCTCCAGCTGCAGTTCTCCATCCAGTCTTTTATGACTAACACAATTTCAGCAGAACATCTCCCTAATTCCACGCGGATCCTGATGGTGGATCCCTGCTGCAGCCATTACTATCTGCTTCCCAAAGCACAGAAGGAAAACCATCCTGGACGTCCCGTTGCCTCAGCTTGCTCTCGTCTGACAGAAATGATATCACAGTCTCTAGGTGAGAGTTTCTTCTTGAGAAAGACTCTTCGCTTTTTCTGAAAATCCTTGAACGGTCCAAAAAATAAATAAATAAAGTATATAAAACACTGTAATTAATGCTTAATTAACACAGACTTCATTAATTAATGATTTCTGTATCAGAATTTTATTTTTTAAATAAATCTTAGTTAGTAATGAATTATTAATTATAATTTTATCAACAAAAGTTCAATAAGTTCAGCATCTGTTTTATTTTGTTTTAAAAAAAAGCAAAAAAAAAAGAGGCACAAACACCGCACTATTCGTTGTTATCATTTTATTTCTGTACAAAATCTAACAGTATTGTGCAAACAATAAAAAGGACTAGATGATCAGAGATGAAAAGAAATGAAAATGATTCACTACTGAAACAGGAACATATTCACACAGACGGCCGAGTGCAACAGTTTGGAACGTTGATCGTTTCCTTTAGTCCCACGGGTGCACAAACTTTTGCACTCAGCCGCACAAACTGCTGTTTGGATCATAAAGCCGTCCCGGTTTGTTCAGCAGGATGAAGATCTGGACCAGAAGGAGGTTCAGTCCGTGTCTGAAGAGTCGCTCGAACTGTTGGAGGAGGAGGAGGACGAAGCCTGCGTGTGTTTCTTCTTACGCTTCTTCGAGCGTTTCTCTTTCTCTCGCTTTTCCTTCTTGCCTTTCTTCTTGTGGATTTTCTTCTTTTTCTTTCTGCTCACCTCTTCATCATCATCATCATCATCATCACTGGATGAATGAGACCTGAGAAAAGAAAATAATCAAATAAACGAATTGATCACTCTTAATACACCACATAATGCGTTATCGTTTCTATAGTAACAGCTCATGGAAGGAGTCTCAACTGTAACTTTTTATGTTGTATTTTAATAATTGTGTGTGTGTGTGTGTGTGGTGTTTGTAGAGTGTGTGTATATACACAGTAGTACTGTATGTGTGTATAGTGTGTGTGTTTATACTGTGCACAGTATTTATTGTGTATATATAGTGTGTGTGTGTGTGTGTGTGTGTGTGTGTGTGTGTGTGTGTGTGTGTGTGTGTGTGTACCT